CATAAAGTTGTGAGCAATAAGGTAATCAAATCAATTCTAAGCCACAACCATTAATAGCTGTTGGTAGTAAAAAGTACAGTTACCATGTCCTGATGGCTGATACAATTATATGCAGTGCTGCCCTTTGGTTATCTCACTAGCTTCCTTAAACCTGGTCAATTCTAATCTTACTGTATTACACTAGTACAACTCTGGTGTGTTAAACGGGTGTTTGTAATTAAAAAAATATTTTAAAAGTTTAAAATTAAAGAGAAAATTTATTTTAAATTTTATTTACTTTTTCACCAAAAAAAAATTATATATTTTAAAATGACATTTGTTGCTTGTGCAACTTACATGTGTTATATTATAGTAACTAGTATGTAACTCGTGCCATGCACGGGCTGTATTTACTTTGAAGAATATTAAAAATTAAAATGTATGTTTGGTATAAAATTGATGGGCAAAGGATAACCGAGTTACCCGACTCGAGTTGATCTCGAGGGAAGGCTATTCGGAGCTTACTCACTATTCAATCGCTCAAATCACAAAAATGGAAAATAAAGTACTAAACATACTAATCAATTTGGGTTGAGGTTGATTAAAACTAATCACGACTATTGAAAGCAATTAAACGAGCAACGGGCAAGTGAACGTACTACAAACTCTAGCAACTAAACCGGTGCACAAAGCCAAGGGCAACAAAAGCGAAAATAAGAGAATCGAACTCCATTTAACATGCTTGATAGCTAAAATCGAAATCCTACCACGAAATAACCGAGCTAAATATGAAGTCCCTATTTTTCTAATAACAATCAATCAATCAATCAACTCCAGGCATCATAAACGAGTTCACAAAAGCAAGGGAAACGAAAATTAACTAAAATAGCTACTAAAAATCCGATAATCGAACAAGCCCTAATTACCTCTACGCACGAGATAGCAAGTAAGTACAAAAATCGAGATCACAAGGCTTAAAAGTAAGTACTCACATCCCTAACGCATGCTTGATCGAAGTCGGAAGATAAAGATTAAAACTTGCATAAACGAGAAGTCACCGGAAAAAGTCGCCGGAAAATGTAAAATAACATCCACCTTACTCTAGAGAGAAAATAAAAGACTTAACCTAAGAACCAAAGAGGAATCATTTCATAATGAGCTAGCTCTTTCAAAATACAAAGGCCAAAAAGTATTTATACTCACACAAACACATAGTGCAAAACGCAGATTTAAATGGACACTCTCGACGTTGCCAACAAATTCGCGAGCACGCGGCGATAGCATGCAAGGGCAGGGCAATGGAGTCTAACTCTCGACCCCGTGGATCTCTCGGCGAGCTCGCGGTATGGCGGAAAAGAGCTCTCGACGTCGCGGCTTTCACGGCAAGCTCGCGGTATGGCGGAAAAAAAAGCTCTCGACGTCGCGGCTTTCACGGTGAGCTCGCGGATGCGCAGGTAAGGGCAGCTCTCGATGGCGCGGAACTCCCGGCGGACGCGCAGAACGGTGCAACGCACCTCTCGACGTCGCGAACAATAGGGCGAGCTCACGAGTGGACAGTTACTTGGACTCGGTATGGAATCAACTAAGGCTCGGGAAACTCGGCAGTGAAAATGTCTCGTGCACGATGGTTCAAACTTCTTGGAAACTCGATTTCTTCAGAAAATGCTCGTCTCTCGGAATGTGGCTTGATTCTCTCGGGACATGGCTCGACTCTCCATCTCCATCCTCGGAATATACCTGAAATTTATATCCAAAACACGAACAAGTACGCCAAAATATAAAATAAATAAGAAAAACATAGAAACACACGATAAACGACAAAATGGACTGGTCGACACTAAAATAAACCTAGAATCGACTCGAAAACACACAAAAACACATAAAAATAAACACAAAAACACCATAAACAATGTATTAATAAATAAAAGAGTGACAATTCGTAGGAAAATTATCAAACTATAAAATATTCCTCATGCAAAAAAAAAAAAAAATATTTAAACTTTCTTGTACACAATATTATTTGTTCAATAACTGAGCAACTCGTCGTCCCCACAAACTAATATTTTCAACACTTTTCTATTATTTACACGCGAAACAAACAACATAATCCGTGACTAAATATTGATTTCTTTAAGAACATGTCAACGTACAATAAATGTAGACATTGACTCTTCATGATCCATTACTTAACATTCCAACGTACAATAAATGTTGACATTGACTCTTCTTTATCTATTACTTACACGCGTAACAACGTACAATTGGTCGTGATCAAAAAAAGATTTTTTTAAGAACATGCCGATGCACATCGCTTATCTATTACTTACACGTAGAAACAACAACATATAATCGGTCGTTGCTAAGAACCGATTTTTTAATAATATGCCAACGCACATAGAGAGACTAACCCTGATCTTAAATGAAACCCTAAGATTAGAAGTAACTGATGCTCTAGAACTTAAATGAAATCCTAAAATGGATCTTTTTATAATATGATAATTTACTTAGGCAGTCAGAAAATGAGTTGTTAGTTTAATATCGATATACTTGATTAGCTATATAATATTCACTAATATTTTTATATTTTTTATACAAAAATGTTGACCATCTATTTATACAACAGTTGGACAAATGAATTGGTGTATATTTACAAAAATATGTATGAATAATTTAAAACATTAAATATTACATCACACTAATTTTATGAG